AGAGAGAGAGAGAGAGAGAGAGAGAGAGAGGGAGAGAGAAAGGAAAGAAATGAATCTCATTTCCTGAAGAGGTGTGGGTAAAAACCTCCACAGAAATCTGAGCCCTCCCTTTGAGGATCAGCCTCTGGCACCAGAGCTCCGTCAGGACCCTCTCCAGCCTCCTTGGCATCAGGCTTTGTCCTTGCTGTATGTCCTTCCAGCACAGACTGCACACCCACCGGGCTCAGGCTGCAGCTCCGGGGCCCTGCCCCAGAGGCCAGAGCCTCAGCCTGCTGCCCCAGCTCTGCCACTCTCCATTCACTTGGAGGCTGCCAGCCAGGCTGTCTACTCAGAAGCCTTCTCACTCATCCTAACCCACTGCACTTGCGCCACTCTGAGACCTACTGGGCCATTGTCCTCACTCTCGCCTGGGTTCCCCCTTCACTTTGGGGCTGTCATTGTGCCCATTCCCCGTGGTCTGAGTCACTGTTTCTTGCACAAGTGCCTGCCCTCCTGGTAGAACCACGAGCTTCCTGTGTGAGGGATTGGCCTCTGTTCCCTTCCTAGCTACAGCACATGGCTCACCAAGTGTTAAATGGGGCAGCCCAGGCACTTTCCTGTGAAAGCTTAAAGGAAACCGAAACTCCTCAGAGTCTCTGGGCGTGGGAGGATCAACATATCATTTAGGGGAAATTGAAAGTTGTGAATGTCTGTGTGGTAGAGAGCAAGTGCTCTGCCAGCCAGTAATACCCCATCTTGGAACTATTGGCCACCCTGGTGAGGCCAGCACTCCAGGAAAGGGAGCCCACAGGCTTGAGAGTCCCTGGCTTTCAGAGGACTGAACAGACCTGGCAGTCCCCACAGAGGGTGAGGAGCTCCTAACAGGGTCAGGGTGTGGGGAGATAGGGGGTATCAATCAGAGAAGGGTTCCTGAGGAGGTGATGCCTGAGACTTGCAACTACGTGGGTGAGAAGAGGAGAAATGGGGGAGAAACACTGGGCAGAAGGGAAAGCCCCTGTGAGGGCATGGATGCAAAAAGCAGCTGGGCACCTTCGATTTGGGGGACTGAAACCTGAAGTCTGAGTGCGGATAAATACGGTAGCTGTCACTGTGTGCCAAGAATATCCCTGTAGTGGACTAGACACTGCCTATATATTACAACAGTTACGCTGTATTTATATATTAATATATAATGTATTATTTTGATGTTACTTTTTAAATATTTAAACTTTGGATAGCTAGTATAGTCACATGGTTAAAAAATTTTAAAAGATTAGAAAGGCACACTATGAATATCGTCTTTCATACTCCTGACTCCATCCATTTTTCCTACATCTTCCTCCTAATAGGTATCCCCTAGTATTAGCTTCTTGGTTATTCTTCCAGAAGTTTGTTATTTTTTAATGTATATGCAAGAAAATCCAAATATGTATCCTCTGGGTTTTTTTACACAAGTTACTACAATATAACGAACGCATGTTGCTTTGTTCACACTAAACCTTGCCCCTTTTTTCCATATTAGCACACACAGACCTTCCCCGGTCCTTTTTGTAGTTACATATGATTCCATTGTATGGATGTATCACTATTTATTTAACCTGTCTTGCATTTAGATTATGTTTTGAATTTTGCTATTTCAAACAATATTGCAGTAATAACTTTTAAATATGCTATTCAAACTGTGGTTGAGTTTATGAGTAGGATAAAATCCTAAAAGGGAAATTACTAGGTCAAAGCATTTGTAATTTAATAAATGTTGCCCAAATTTTTTTAAAAAAATTTATCTTTATTGTTGAAAGTATTACAGGTATCCCATTTCCCCCCCCCATTGACCCCCTCCACCTCGCTACTACCCCATCTCCAGGCCTTCACCCCANTTTTTTTATGTTTATTGTTGAAAGTATTACAGGTATCCCATTTCCCCCCCCCATTGACCCCCTCCACCTCGCTACTACCCCATCTCCAGGCCTTCACCCCATTATTGTCTGTGTCCATGGGTTATACATATATGAATATAAGTTCTTTGGTTAATCTCTTCCCACCCTCCACCCCCTTTCCCTCTTCCCTCTGAGATACAACCCTCTGTTACANATGCATATAACTTCTTTGGTTAATCTCTTCCCACCCTCCACCCCCTTTCCCTCTTCCCTCTGAGATACAACCCTCTGTTACATGCGTCAGTGTCTCTGGGTCTATTTAGTTTGTCAGTTTCTTTTGTTCATTAGCTTCTTCTTAAAGAAGATCCTTCNTCAGATTCTTTTGTTCATTAGCTTCTTCTTAAAGAAGATCCTTCAACATTTCATGTAGTACTGGTCTGGTGGTACTGGCNNTTTTCTCTTGCTGCTTTTAAGATTCTCTCTTTGTCTTTAACCTTTGGCATTTTAATTATGATGTGTCTTGCTGTGGGCCTCTTTGGGTTCCTTTTGTTTAGGACCCTCTGTTTTTCCTGGACTGGTAAGTCTGTTTCTTTCCCCAGGTAGGGGAACTTTTCTGTAGTTATTTTTTCAAATAGGTTTTCAATTTCTTGGTCTCTTTCTTCCCCAATAATACGAATGTTGGGCCTCTTGAAGTTGTCCCAGAGGCTCCTTATACTATCTTCATATTTCTGGATTCTTTTTTCTTTTTGCTCTTCTGGTTGCGTGTTTTTTGTTTCCTCATGTTCCAAATTGCTGATTTGATTCTCAGCGTCCTCTACTCTACTGTTGATT